CACACACACATATTTGCTAATTTCTGCCTAACGATATTTTTTTCCTCGTGGCGTTGCCCTTGGTGACTGACACTGCGCTTGTCACATTATGCTCAAGTTGCTTCTCTTGTCATAACGGCAAAGCAATCTGGTGCGTGTAACCGGATCCTGTTTGAATGCAGGGAAATGAATGAAACATGTGACAAGGTGTGATTAGGTATTCGCCAATCTCGCTGGGTGTTTGTTGACAGATGGGTCTTTTGTCAGAGTAATTTGTTCAACAGAACAACCAAGCAGATAATTACCTGTTTCTTTTGTGGCTATTAGGCCCATTGTTGTGTTGGGGGGGACATCCTAATAGTGAATATTCATCACACATTAGGGCAACCGAATGGAAGCTGGCCTGAGGCAACATGTTTTTCTTCTTATTTTCTAATAATGCTTGTTTTGTAACACGCTGGCCTTGTTCGATCCACCTTCTGTGCCTACTACTTTATGTTATTATAACGTATGTGCGAATTTGCATGTCATTTCAAACAGAGCGCAGTTTTGATTTTATTTCCAAAAAGAGAGGTTTTTTTTAATCTGGTCTTGATAAGCTTCAAGTTTTTATTGAAATTTTATTTGTCCTTTCACTCTATGGCCGCATGTAGTCGCAGATTAGACCCCCGCCCATTCATCCGGGATGCAAATAAACATGATAGGGCATTAAGAGGCTTGAGCGGAAAGGGGTGTGACGAAGGTGTTGTGTTTCAACTCAAACCACCTGGCGAGGAGACACTTAAGGCGCGCAGGTTCAGCGTGCTGGCGCATTACAGAGACACCAGTCGCTCAGAGAAGTCCAAAACACCTTAATGATTTCACCATAAACAGTTTTGCAGGACTCGTAGACTTTTTTTTTTAACCCTCTCCTCTGAGCGATGGAAAATAGGATTCGACCCCTTGGTCTGACCGATCATACCTCCGGCCCGCTCGGTAGCCTGCCGGTACCCCCTTCCCTTCTGCGTCCTCCGCCTCTCTTCCTCCAGGCTTGCAACCCCACGCTGGAGAGGGGATACCCCCGAACCCCGAAGTGTGCCAGGTGCAGGAACCACGGCGTGGTCTCTGCGCTCAAAGGCCACAAGCGGTTTTGTCGCTGGAGAGACTGCGTGTGCGCAAAGTGCACACTGATTGCAGAGAGGCAGCGGGTGATGGCCGCGCAGGTGGCGTTGAGGAGGCAGCAGGCTCAGGAAGAGAGCGAGGCCCGGGATCTTCGGCTCTTGTACCCCTGCACTGGGATCGGAGGGGAAGCGGGGATCCCTCAGAGATCGTCCATTAGCGCCGGGGTACCCGTATCTGCCAGCAGTACTCCTGCAGCTCCCTGTTTCGATGTTTTTGGGAGTGAGAATCAGAAAGACGGTGAGTTGAAATGTGAGACTGTATACTTTGTCTTCATAACTATTTTAATACACAACAATGTTCTTCTTTTTGGTTCCTCTGCAGCTTTGGTGAACTTTGATTACCCCGTGCGCATTTAATTTAAAAGCTGTTGTCCCTTTTCTTTCACCCTTAGTTACAGTTTCAGAGGACAAATTACGCAAATACAACTTTTACAACGGATTCATGGGCCGACCCCTGTTTGCACCCCATTCTCCACGGCTGCCCTCTCCAAGTGACAAGAAAGAGCTGTCTTCCAGCAAGGACAGCGGCGGAAGTCAATCCCCTGCGATGGATCACCGCTCAGACCACACAGAGAGCCCGCAGAGGTCACTTCCCTCCTCGGATCCAGAGTCGGGGAGCGAGTCGGAGAAGCCCAATGAGTATCTGAGCCCGGACCGTGACCCCACCGACATCATGGCTAAGATCTTCCCCCATCAGAAACGGGACACTCTGGAGTCTATGGTGAGAACGTGCAAAGGTGACATTGTCAAATCCATTGAGCTGGCGTTGAACTCCAAAGAGAACAAAATTGACGCTGACAGCGCGCGCAGGCCTTCTGCGGGACTGCCCGGAGGGCTCGGTGCTCTGGGGGCCAAGTCTGCTTTCTCCCCGCTGCACATACCCGCGTCCCCAGGGGGAGACAGCCTGTACGGCCTCAGCCCTCGCCTGGGCGTCAGCCCCCTGCGGCTGGCCTATCCCTCCGCTAACGGCGGCATGGCAGGCTTCATGTCTCCATACATGACATCAGGACTGATGCCAGTGTTCCCACTGCGTCCACCCTTGGACTCTTATTCCCTCCCCGGCATGATCCGAGACCTGTCTTACATCCAAAGCAAGGAGTCTCTATGCAATGCAGGCCTGTACACACGGCTAAACAGCGAGACCAAATAAAAAAGGGACACATGGAAATAAATAATAATAATAAAAAAAGTTAACTGTAGCTTTTAAATAACCGCTTTTCAAGTGCCTCGAACCACAATGGTGTACTAAAATCTGACGACTTAATGCTTTTTTTCTTAATGTAAATTTTGCAGATTGTTTATTATGAAGAGTTATCTTTTCTCGTTTTACACATTTTGTATTCATTTCGTGCAGATATATAAAATGATGAAGTGAGTCTTTTGTCGATGTGTTTTTTGTTTGTATTTTAGCGGATAAAAAAAGAAAAGGGAAAAACAACTGCATGTGTAGCACTCAAAACTAACAAAAACCGGACTTTGTCCCACGATAAGTCTTCTGTTTCTTTCTCTTCCTTTTTTTTTTTTTTTTTAAACACTAGGAGGGGAGGAAGGAAATCTACTATCTTTTTTTTTCCTGTTTCGTTTCACACATTTTAGTTCAGGCTTATTTAAGTGCAGTAGTCGTAAATATGTTATATGTGAAAGTGACCTTGGTGATGTCTGTGCTTGTGAAGGAGCTCCAGCTGACTACAAAAGATGTCTGCTGGCTCTCTTAAAAAAGGCTACACTTAAATAAAGTGCTTCAACTTTATACTCCCATTTCTAAAATGTAAATAAAGCCGTAAGTGCAGGAAATCTTAATCAAATTCGTCCTCTTTTTCGCCTCAGCTGCCGTTCTCCCCTGCGATTGGTCGGTGGATGATCACACGAACCTTAAACTAGAAACCAATAGAAAGCCTCAGAAGCGCCACGAGACCGCGTGTTTCAGGAAGTCGGGACACGGCAGTTTGAGATGCTGGCGGTGCAGTGTTTGAAACAGCCTTGAGCGGGATTTTATGAGGCAGGAGGCGCTGACATGCGTGTCTACATTATTGTCGCTGCTGTGTTTTGGTGTGGTTATGTGGACTCGCGGAAAGTAAGAGGAATATCCTCGTCCTGTAAGTCCATTCTTCCCTTTGGCAGCTACCTAGCTGGAAGCTAAAATATATACAGAAACAGCTACATGGTGCTGAAGCTTTGGCAGCTCCTGGTTTCAGACGCAGGCAGCACGTTACAAGCTGTGATAACGGAGTACACAGCATAATAATGGTACACAACATGAGTGTGTAGTAGCAACACAACACAAACCTGCTGTTTTACCCTCCCCAGAGGATCCGTGCTAAGACACTATAAGCGCTCACACTGATGCACAATGTTTGGCTACAATTCTGGTTGCACCTCAGAGCCAGCAGCGATTACAAAAGTGGGCGTTTGCTTTTATTTTGTAACAGATAAAAGGTTCTACAGGGAGAGGAAGTCGTTTCTGTGCATAGATGGGTCGAGAATGATCCCATTTGAGCAGGTGAACGACGATTACTGCGACTGTGAAGATGGCTCAGATGAACCAGGTAAAAGGTTAATCAGTGGGGCCAGCGGGCCTCTGTCTGTCAGTATGTCTGGTCACTGTGACTCTGTTGGAAAATCAGTGTTTTACTTTAAAGACTTTTGAAGTTTTCTGCGCTCAGATCAGCTGCATGTGTTTTGGGGGGCAAAACACATGCAGCTGATCTGCACAAAGCAGACGCCGATTTTAAAAGTGCATGCGTTTACATCCTGGGAAGTGTGAGGGGAAAAACTGTACACAACAAAAACAGACTGTCAATACCGAAGACATGCACTGCGTGGACAAAACAATAAACCATGTAAACAAGAAGCCATGAGAACAAGAACCCCCACCAAGGCAGCTCACTCTCTGGGAAGTATTTACTTTGTATTTTGTACATATTCATATTGTTTTCTTTGTTATTTTTAAACATATTTCTAGAAGTCTGTAGTTAAGTAAAAGCAAGTGCAAAGTGCAGGCTTTTGTTGTTTGCCCTGCTGAAACCCATTTTAATATGCTTAGCGCAATTTTGATTGCAATACTTTTTAAAAATGTATATGCCCACAGGACGTGTGCAGCCTTTATGCCATTGTTTAGTGAAATTTGTTGAATAATAAATATCAAGTGTCAAAAGCCTCCCCCCTCCCCCCTAAAAAAATAAAAATTATACATTGTAATGTAGTCAAATTGTTATGTATTTAATGATTACAATCTACATAATTACAATCTATTATTGTGATGTAAATGGAAAAGTAAGAATAAATTAATTCAGCTAAAGTCAAATAGCATCTCTTGGCAACATGTTTTTGTCAGTCTGAAAACGTATTGTTATTTTAAATAGCTTTATATAGCATTATTATCACTTCACCTGCAGATTAATCTACTAACCTTTGAAGGAGAGGTCAGAGATCAAATGTGACATTATATTTTAAATTGTTAAATCCTACTTTATATGCCGACAACACCCAGCACTCTTGAAGAATCATAGTTTGTAGGTTATATATTTTTCTTCTTTCAGTTTTCGACCAATAAATCATTAAATTGATCTTGAAGACTTTGGTGGACGTAAACCAAGTTTTAATAGATTGTTAACATGACCCTGCCCTACACAGCTACAAAGTTTTTTCAGAATTATCTCAAAACTTTTCAAGCTATCGTGATATGCAAACTCTACCATACCCTCCTTAGCAAACATAGTTACTGGATATTTTGCAGGGTTTAAATATTAACAGATAGATGGCATTTTCTCTTGTGTAGCATAAACGGGAAAAGACAGAGGAGACACATCCCCGATTTCATTATGCAGTTGTGGCTTTTATCGTTATGCTTTAAATCAAAGTCACACATCATTTACAGTTTGTATGTGGGGCACAGGGCTGCGGCTAACCTCTGCCAACACTAACCAGATTTTGAAATTTTAAAAAGACACACACACAAAATAATGATTAAAAACAAAAAAAAAAAACCCATCAAGAATACAAATAAATGTTTAAAAGTTTGAATTTTTAGAAACAGTAATCAGGTGCAGTGGCTAATGTCTTTGCAAGCGTTGTGAACAGTTTAAGGTAAATTCATTTGTTTCTGCACATGCAGTGCTGACCAGTTTTCCTTGCTCCATGTAGGCACTTCAGCCTGTCCTCATGGCCGATTCTACTGCACCAATCTGGGTTTTCGCCCGCACTACATCCCATCATCCAGAGTCAATGATGGCATCTGTGGTAAGGCTGTGGTTTAATATTGTGTCTTACTGTCGGCTGGTAGCCGCCTTTTCTGTTTGGATGTCAGCAGGGCAACTTGCGGTCCTGGAAATCCCCGCTGAGTGGAAACTACTGCAGAGGCGGGTTGAGTAACTTGGCAGGTATTCATAGATTAAAGCCTACAGCCGTCATAGAGCACAGGGAACATTGTCCTATCACAGATACTGTATATCAGTATTAATGTATCTGTTGTTTGGTTATGAAGATATGTTAATAGTTTTATTTTCACATGTTGGACATATTATAGCTGAGGAGAATAAAGCCTGACTGATTTATTGTCAGGCTGATATTCTCTATTTGTCGTTGATCACTTTAGGCATTTAAAATAGATGATGAATGAAAATTAAAACAGTAAAGAACAGATGGGAGAAACGCCCTTCAGGCATGTTATGAATGTTGATGTTACATAGTTTATCCACCAGAGGGCACTGTGCAACTTTAGCATGCCTCAGACACAAACACTATGCTGAGGGGGAAACAGGTAAGTACATAACTGAACAAAACAAACAGCGAAATCTCGTTATGTTTTTATATGTCTGAAAGAAAAAAAATTGGAATATCGGATTTTCATATCACAAAATATCGGTCTCAAAAACACGGTCGAGCTGTGAATACAACAGATAAATGTTGGCAACCTCCATCATTAAATTCCTCTTATTTACTGATACATGGCTGATGTTAGTGAGTTTGGGTGATATATCAGTGTTACAGAAGGTCATCTACTAATAAGAAGGTTAGTGGTTTGATCCCTGGCTGCTCCAGTCTGCATGTCAAAGTGTCCTTGGGCAAGTTGCTCTCTGATGTGTTGTTAGAAAGGACATCTCTCTATTAGTCTGTTTACCATCCAGCTGTGGTCTTCCACTTACCTGACTGTTGGTCCCTGGTGGGTTTGGGCTGAAGTCTGTCCAATTTGAAAAATCATAGATAGACTTTTTTTTAACTCCCTAAAACTTAGCATTGTTATTGGCACCAAAGTAATGGTAAATGGCCTGTATGTGTATAGCGCTTTACTAGTCCCTAAGGACCCCAAAGCGCTTTACACATCCAGTCATCCACACATTCACACACTCGTGATAGCAAGCTACGTTGTAGCCACAGCCACCCTGGGGCGCACTGACAGAGGCGTGGTTGCCGGACACTGGCGCCACCGGGCCCTCTGACCACCACCAGTAGGCAACGGGTGAAGTGTCTTGCCCAAGGACACAACGACTGAGACTGACCAAGCCGGGTCTCGAACCGGCAACCTTCCGATTACAAGGCGAACTCCCAACTCTTGAGCCACGAGAGAGATATGAGTTATCTCTCAAGTTTTTTTTCTACGTCTCTTTGTGTATTTTGTTAATGCAATAGCATCACAACCACGTAATCATAAACACGCTGTCAGGTCTTCATCAAAATAACTTAAAGTCCTGATTTTACCGAGTAAAAACTTGTTGTTTACTTTCCCTCTTGTGCATTTTGCAGACACGGGCAGGAATTTATGTTTTGCTCGATGTGCAGATGCTGGCATGTGGATATACGCACTCTCAGTCTTTTTTGTAGCCCAAACAAACGATGTAGCTTCAACAAACAGAACATGGCTGCCTTCACACAAATGCAGATGCGTCCATACAGTCACTTCCCTCGCTCAGCTTTCCTTGAAAAACATCCTGCTTCTATTATTCTCAAGGCTTTCTTCCATTCTTTCTTGCCACATGCGCTGCCTAATCAGGTAGTTTTTCAGCCTCCCTTTCTTTTCCACTTTTGTTCTCCAGTAGCTCGCCACTTTGGATAAATTCAATACATTCTGCTGCTGACATCTCTGCTCTGTCACCAGCTCGTTCTGCAGCAGTAGCAATAGACGGCATGTAACCATCGCAGGAAATAAATCTGAAGGAATGAAGCATGATAGAGCGGCAGGAGAATATTTCCCAAAGCCACCCTCACCCTTCCTCTTTCCTTTTATTCTGCTCCCACTTGTCTTCTTCTCATACCTTCTCTGCTTTGAATGGAGCCACTTAATAGCTAATTCATCATCGCTTTTCCTCTTTGACTGGTTGTTCAGAGACATTCATTGGCTTCCCTTTTTGGACTGTAATGCTCTCTTTCGATGGGTCACCAATGGGGTTCTGGATAATTGAGAGATTTCACACTGTGCCCACTCTCTTGGGTGAAACATCAGAGAAAGAGCCAGATCTGAGCACTTACAAAACACCATGCAGCTGATGTTATAAGTGGCTGAAATCAAGAGACCTTCTTCGAGGCGCAGAGAGATGTCACGCAGACCTAAAGATTTAATCTTCAACTTTAAGGACGAAGATTTCCTGGGTAGCTCAACATGAAAGAGAATATACATTTGTCAGCATAATTAATTAAATTTTAATCGTGTGGCTTCTCGTGATTAAATACACACGATGCTGTAAATGTGTGCTCGACCAGAAGAACACAAAGCAAACGCCAGGAAAGCGCTCCCTAAATCATCGCTTGATGACCTGCCTGCTTATGCCAATCACAGCTGTTCCCTGCACCGCACAGCACGAGCTTTCCCAAATGCACTTGACCGCAGTGATATACTGTAGATAAAAGGCCATTACTGCAAAGCAACACAACTGTCATATTCAACTGCCTCAAAACACAACACAAGCTGCAGAATGATGGAAACCGAGAAAAACATTGCAACAGCTGCTAATGTGAATCATCCGGCTTCAGCTCAGACGTCGATACTTTATTATTATTATTACTGTCATTAAACAGAAATGTTTTGTTTTATGCAGTATGTTGAAGTTTTAAAGGATAATCTGATAGAGCACGACTGATATGGGATTTTTAAAAAGCGCACCGATATTTGGTGATTTAAAAATCCGATATTTTGATGCACTGGTTAATTTTTTTTTTCTTTCACACACAATAAATGTAACAATATAATTACACATAACAATAGCACATTGTTATATGTAGCGATATTCCGTTGCACTGCTCGTCTTTGCTGGGATCGTCTGATTGTTTTTGGTCTTGCCTATAGAAAAGTTCCGGAGGTGCCCTCTTGTGGATAAGCTATGCAACTGCAACCCTTGTAACATTGTTGAAGGGCATTTCTTCTTTACTTTTTAAATCCGAATTTTGTGTCAAATGCTGATGCTTATATAAAGGCAAAGAGCTAATATTGACTCGTGATATTGCGTTGTCTGACACTCTGGGAGATACACTTCTTTGAGTTAGTGGTGGCAAAAACCTGCAATCCTCAAGGCACCACATGGGGCTGTATCCAAAATGAAGTCACTCTTGAAACAGTCTCATGTTAAAATAGGCAACTGTACTTAAGCAAGAAAGAAAAATCATATTTACATGCTGGTAGAAAAAAAGTTTTGCTCCATAAACATAATCTACACCCAATTGAAGTCGCTGAACTTGACCTTTCAACCACATTTATGGTGCTGGTGCTTTTTGGAGCTCTATTACTGGAGTTGTCTGAGCTATATTATCCAATAACATGCATTGCTGTGTCGTTAATTGAACTGACAGCCTATCCAAGATGTCTGTGCTTCAGCAAGTGAAATTCTATTTTATTTTTATGTTGCTTAGCAGTGTCTGCGCTGCACCCATACACTGAGCTGATGCACTTTTCTAACCAGCGTTTTCAGCCATGGTCACTTCTGGTTCCAAAAAACCCCCCAACAGCTTTAAACCTGAGCTTCACAAAGCGCTGTCAGATGTCACAGTGGATACATCACCATGGTTTCTAGCCTTAGTGCTGTGCTAAGCTACAGTACTGTGCAGAAGTCTTCTGTCCTCCAGTATGTACAGAAGAGGTCAATTGAATAATTGGTATAATAGTGAGTGTTTGTCTGTAAAACTTAGTGCAGGCTCTGTTATGGGCTGTATTTCAGCCAGTTTTGTTGGGGATCAAAATCGATGGTATTATGAACACAGAAAAGTATCATCAGATGTTGATTCACTGTGCAATACCATCTGAACAAGTCAGCTTCATATTTGAGCATGACAACGATCCCAAACGTGCTGCCAATGCAGTAAAACGAGTCATGGATTGGCCTCCCCAGAGTCTGGAGCTCAACATTATTGAAGAAGAGTGGGATCAGAAAACAGAATAAACAGCAGCCAACATCCAACGAGCTTTGAATGTCCTTTAAGAGGTCTAGAGAACTATTCCTGAAGACTACTTAAAGAAATTCCAAGAAAGCTGCTAAAGACGGTTCAGGTTGTGTTAAAGATGCCGTCGAAGTTTCTCTTGACTCACTACAAGAATTCATTGGCTTAAAGTTTCAGCTCAGTTTTCCTGTAGCATATTTGTGTTTATTGTTTGTTATCGTTTTAATGAAAAAAACTGTATTATATGTGGGAAAGCAAAATATTGCTTTTGCAGAAAGCATCTTGTATTTTTTTTGTTGTGTATGAGTTTAAAAAACAAACAAACTTTGATCTGTTGTGTAGTAATTGAGTGAGACATTGTAAACATCTCCGTTCTGACAATGTGGTATGCTTTTCCTGTTTTGGTCTGTGTGCATTGGATTGGTTTCTCCTGTGTGTCTTTGCCAGATTGCTGCGATGCTTCCGATGAATACAACAGCCACACTCGCTGCCAGAACACTTGCTGGTCAGTCGATTCAAAATTGAGATTCGGTATTTATGTATTAACACGTGTGCAGTTTGACTCGAAATATGTCGCCAGACGCCAGAGGGTCCAGTTATTTAAAAACAAATATTCAAATGTGAAAAGATATTCATGCGGTCTGATATAAAACAGATCTTTGAGGGGAATTCACCATCATCTGAATAGAAAGCTGCTTATCATAGCAGCAGTATGATGGACTCTGCAGTGAATCGGTTACTGTGCCACCAGGGGGCATGGTGTCACTGTGATTTAAAAACTCAGGGCTGTGTGTGCATCACAAAATTGTATTGAAGAGTTCATCTGTTAAATGCAAATGTGACTCACGACCTTCTTGCAAATTTTTCCTCCTCCTCCTTTTTGCTTTAAACTGCTCCCACCACCGAGAGACTTTTTTGTTCCTGGGAGATAATTTAGATAAGTTATAAATTACACGGCGCAAAGGTGGAAGGTCCCTGAATACAGATGTTTATAAGAATTCATTTTCCTGCCGCGATGTATTTATCATGTTTTTCTGAGCTGAGCTGCAAAGATGGACGATGCTGCGGCGCAGAAACGCAGCCCGCTGTGTATATGTCGCTAACCCACTGCTTTTGTTGACAGTCCTCTATTATTTCATTCACCGCGCCATTCGTCTCGAAGCCGCGTACAAGCAGAGTGTATCTCATTATGTTTTCACAAGGTCCGCACTCATATTGTGTTTGCCAGGCTTCAGAAACAATTTAGCTGAGCCGCGGAGCATCGGCCCCCATCTTATTTACTCTTCTATTTTCCCATTTGGATTCCTGCTGCATCGCAGGCCCTTAAAAATTGGATTGCGCCATCTCGGTGACCATAACAGGAGTGGCTGGCGTTTTCTCAGTAATGATGGGACTGTGCTTCCTCTCTTTCTCTCGCTCGCCTTTCCTCCAGGAATCTAGGACAGAGAGAGAGGGCGTACGTGGAGGGCCAGATGAGGACCTTGGATGAAGGTTTGCGACTCAAGCAGCAGCTGATTGAGGAGGGAGTGCTGCTCTGGAGGGAGAAACAGGTAAAAAAAAATTCTTGTAGAAGTTCCAGCTATTATACGGCATGTGTTTGAAAACCACCCGAAAAGTAGATCAGTTCGTGTTCACACTGGAACTAAGTCGTCGTCTAAGCACGGCCTCTACGTCAGGAGAAAACTTGGAGAACTTTTGTGATTTCGAGTTTAGAGGTTACAAAACTATTACAGAACTGATTAACAGGTTTGAAGCAGTCTTCCTCAAAGCAAAGAGTTAAATTAGTGATACAGCAGGGTAACATTACACTGAGTTGGTTTCTCTCACCTGTCTAGTTCAGCATCAAAGTGGAATTGGAGAATCACCTGTTAACCTAACATGCATGTCTTTGGACTGCTGGAGTGATTGGAGGGAAATTGCACATGCACACAAGAAGGCCCCCAGCTGGTGGCTTCAGCACCACCGTGAGTCTACAGGGTCCAATAGGGGGTCTATGACCCTCATAGGGCTTAAAATCTGCGACTCTCCACCAGTTGTTCTTAAAACTGAAGAAGCTTCTTGGATGAGAGGTGAAACATCTTCAAGGAAACTTAAACAAGAGTAGACACTTTTCTTTTCAAGCTCCATAGATTATGATGACCTGGATGACTGAGAACCTTCAGACGAGTCTAGAGACACATTTGTAAAGCTTTGAACCAACAGCTGGCTAAGATGAATGTGGTGGCTCTAATAAGAAAAGCTAGTGGATTATATCGTACAGGAAAGCAGTTCTGGTTAGGGGACTAAAGGTAAATGTACAGTGCTTGTAGTTAGGATATAAAGACACTTGGTTAACTGTTGTTCTGCGTGTGCTGCCATACAGTGGCTTCTACAGCGTTTTTTAACTAACAGTTGACGGAAAGGTTAATTTGCTTTCATATATGCTGCGCTCAGAGCATTGCTATTGAGCAGTGAGCAGCTTGTGATGCCGTTTTGATCATACATGTTCGCAGCACCTGCTGCTACAGGCGTCTGTTGTGCTCCCAGCACCAGTTTCCAGCACCAGCCTTAGCCTGCTGTGCAGGTACTTTTTGCCTTATCACAGTAAGAAGCTCGCTGCTTCCTAGCTGTCAAAAAAAAAAAGCCCTGCTATTTTCCTCCCTCCATTATGTTACTTGGATCGTGTCGTTTTAGTTGATCAATTCATGTCATTTCCTGCTGAGTGGCCTCCAGTTTTAGCACAAGAGACATCACTGTGCTATATAATGCGTCACGTCTCAGATTCGAATTCTAGTTCGTACTGTTATTTGTAACCCATAAACATCATCAAACTCTGCTCCTGCCACCTTACTTTGCATTTTATTGTGTCTCTTAAGGAATTCAGCTGTGACTATACTTCATTTGCCGTCGCTTTAAAGCAGTAAGGAGTAAATGGCTGGGTGTAAATCAGCACCAGTAAACAAGTACGTGAGCAATCAGGCCTTTTTTTTCTCTCTTTTTGACTCCTTTGCAGAACTTGGGGTCGAGCAGCGACTGCTTTACCGTTTTTCCTCTCCATTTGCACATTTACTTCAGCGAGCACTGAGCCAATTTAGAGACGGACTCCTGGAGTTTGGTGCAAATTATATGGTAAATTTGGCAGCTGCGGATCTCCGAGGACGCTTCAGTGGTCTCATTACTTAATGCATTAGTGGCCTTTAGAAACTACAAGTTACTTTCCAACACTGCAGCACCTACAGCTTTAAGTGTATTAGCGATTGAAATGGCAGCAACTGAGTGTTGTTCATCATCATTATTTGGATTTTGGACTCTTTGTTGATGCAGCACATTTACACTGTTCTGACTTTTTTCAGGGCTGCTATGAATCCTTGTTATTTCCTGCCCTGATTATTCATTTCGAAGGTATCTTGAAGGATACAGCTGTTTAAATCTTGCAGTGCTTATAAAAGATGTCAGGGAAAGAAAAGAGAAAGAAACCACTTGTTTACAGCACAGATTTGTCTGAAGGCCACTTTTTATCACACTCACATGTGCGAGCTCACACATGTCTGATTTGCCAGCTGGTGATCCCTGGGTTTTTACCCTGCACTCTGCTCTATTTTCCTTTCTTTTCCTCCCCCCCCCCTCTCCGTGTTCTTTTCGGTGGCAGCTGATTGGCAGATCGAGGCTGAAGTGTCACCCAGCCCTCCTAGCCCTGCCGCACTTTGCGATCCTCTTTTCTCAGCGTGTCTCTGTTGATATGGCAGGGTTACCTCCGGGGCCTCGTGTTGGAAACCTTACACAATGACTCAAAAATGAACCCTTCCTGTGGTTCAAGAGGAAACTGTTAAAGAAAACACTTGCGATCAAACTTTAACCAAAAAAAAAAAATCAAATTAGAAGCTGAGCGTGGCGTTGTAGCCTCACGTGCCACAGAACAAGCAGAAATGGGAATGCTGCTGTTAATTGAATACAAATTGGTATTCAATAAAACTCATTTCACGATGTTTGCTGTTTATTGGCCCACTCTTAAAAGTACATGTTAAAGCAGGAAATGAAGTGCAGCGTCAGCCGTTCCTTATCCTCAGAATCACTTTTCTCTACTTTTTTTGTTTTTAATTCTTTGAAGAATTTGCAACAGCGAGAAGCTTTATATTAGTTTCTGGTGTTTTCTACTTCTTTTCTTACACAATGGAAGAACTTTTTGCATGTTATGGGTGTTTTTTCCACAAGTAAATATGTTCTTGTACTCCTCATAATGGCGCCCATAAATCACCGCTGCAAGCTGAAGGTGTCTAAGCAAGCAGCATGGCCTAGAAAGGTAGTCATCCCTAGCTGAACCTCGCAGAATCCATCACTGCATTATGAGAGTCTCTGAGGACAGATTGGAAGGCAGAGTTGACACACACACACGTGCACACACACATGCACGCGAACAAGGAGCTGCTGCTCTTTCATATTAATTGGTCCATTACAGAGAGTGATGATAGGTTACGCTTGGTTGTCAAAAGCTGTCGTATTTGGTGCGACAGCAACACCTCCTGATGCAAGTGATTTAAATAGTCCATTGTGCAGGCCCGGCTGCTGCGGTACAAGTTCTTGTAAATACACGGTGTTGGTTGGTTCTCTTCCGGAGCTAGACGAGGAAACGGAAAGAGAGAACAGGGAAATTCTCGTGCTTCTGTTTGTCTGTCAGTTTATCTCTCAATAATAGTCTCTGTGCTTTGTTTATCATTAAGAATGTTATTATAATGATGTTAGCATATGTCTGCGTGTAGCCTGTGGCCTCCTTAACTGGTGGGCCAATATCAGTGAAACTTTGCATGATCATAGTCACATGAATAGTGATTATTAACATTTATATGTTTTCAAAAAGATTTATTACAAATCCCAGTTCTTTTGATTTATGCATTCATCACCTGCCTGCAAATACAATGTTAGGTTAGTGCGTTTGTTTCATGTGCGACTGTCAACATATACTTCCAAAACATGTATCAGCTAAATATGGGATGAAGAACTTTACAAAGTGCCACGAGTCTGCTAGTGTCTATAATCACAGTGTACACAGGAATGAAATGGTTTTGAGTGCTAAACATCAACATCCACACATGCTTGCTTCAACAGTGCTAACATGCTGCTATCAAGCAGGTGGGAGGTTTTCTTATGGACATACAGCAGCTGCTCTGACATTAACCACTGGTTTGTGAAATCCTATTTCGATGCCTCGATAGAATTTGAGTTCTAACACGTCACACTATAATTAGCTATAGAGAGCAAAAGGGCTATATGTACTATATGTATTTCATTATTAAAGCTTTTAAGATGGTTGACTCAAATGCCCTCAAGTGGCCATTCAATGAACTGCGGTTTTTGGCATTTCTGCGTTGGCTTCGTTTTACTGCTCTGGAGGTTTATAATTGTATTTTCCATGCTACCATTAAAGGACTAAGCACGAAAAATGGATGGTGTTGGCATTCTCATTAGTTCTGTAGGTATTTGAAATGCTGAGCAAAATAAAACTTTGATTCGATGATGCTGCTAGATATGCATCGGTGGATCATCAACATTATTACAACTTATTCATGCTCACTCTGTGGTTGACGTTCAAGTCCGTGTCAAATTTGATTCCAACGCATCTGTTAGTTGCTGAAACATTTCACCTTAAACTGCAACTGTTGGCTCCATGCACCAAAAAGTTGAGTCTGTTCATCTGGACGTAGCGTTTTCAGTGGGAGAGTGGTTGAGTTAAACAGAAACAGCCTGTTTCCAAAATGTTTAGAGTCGATATCTGGAAACATTGTATAATAAAGTAATGAGCCAACCAAACGACAGAGAAATTAACATTACTTAAGAAACGGTCTCTGTTTTTTAAAAAGTGTGGCAGTACTGTGTAGGTTGTCCCAATCTGTAACAACAGTACAAGCCTAATACGAAATGTTGTAATGTCGCTTTACTTTTCTGGGCTTGTTTCTGTGCGTTGTCTTTCTGCAGCCACTATCCAATACTTAAGACTTATTAAACTGAACAATAGCCAAATTTATGAACATCACATATGAACGCTAATGTTCTTTGGGCTAGTGCAGCTTGCATGAAAGTTATATTTCCAAAGGACGTTGATTAAAAAACCCCCACAGTTAGATTCAAGATTGTAATCAATCAGATTTAAGACCAAACTGTTGCTGCTATCTTGCATGCTGACTGTAAGGTATAGTTATAAATAGCTATAAATTTGACAAAGTTGGCCATGTTTTTTCTATTTTTTGTTTTCATTTCATCTCATTAGGCCCAGCTCAGAGAGCTCCAGCAGGTGGCAGAAGACCTGCAGGTCAAGTTGGAGGAACACAGGAGGAAAAAACACGAAGCCGACCGACTCAAAGAGCAAACATTAAAGGCACTGGAAGCAGGGAACGGTGGTAAGAATCGTGCCATTTTTAATCGGAGTCATTTAAATCTATTTGCTCCTTTCACCAAATTGCTTCAGTTTGTGGACAGTAGTTAGGCAATTTTAGCAGCTGCAGGGCAACTTTCATTTCATTTCAGCTGGATCTTGCATTGAGCAAAAGTAAATTGGCCTGAGAACCTCAGCTCACATGGTCAGGATAACAAATGGCAGAAGATAGGGAGGAGCTGGAAGGGTTAAATACAGATGCCTGTGTCGTTGAAATAAGCGGACTGGGAGAGGATTGCTGAGCAACAGCATATTGCATTTCCCCCAGCTCTCTTTTTAGGTTCCACAAGCCTTCGGAGAGAAGTTGCTTATGACTCACTGGAAAATTCCCTTATCACTGCAAGCACAAGCTGGCTCGGCATTTAAATGACGTTCAGACTTGTGTATGTGAACGTACTGAAAGTAGTGAGGCTGGATGGGAAACGGGCTCAGTCGTTTTTAGCTCTGTAGTCCACGTGGATTTAGAATCATTAAGTCTGTGTTGGGAAGGCAGGGCATGGAGACCGTTTGGGTTAAGTTCGCTTAATTTTAGATTTAGTTTTAGATTTCTAGCTTGTTGCAGCACAGATATTAAAACAGTCCTTCATGTTATGCCTCATAACACACAGAAATAGGATTTATTAATGTTTTAAACTTCTGTCTTATTCTTTGCTCATCCATATATCAAACAGCACACACCTAGATATTGTATAGTGCTGGTAATTGATTCTGCCTTGTGTGTTCAAAATAAAAGTTCTGATTGCAATAAAGGTCATTTGACTTTGGAGCTTCTCAGAGCACACATCCATCATGGCTCCCAAGGTGTGCAAGCTGACCTTTGCTAGTCGTCACCCCCCCCACGTGTTCCCTGCGCCATCATCATTCACTTCCGTTACTGCTCATCTTCAAGTTTTTGCAACCATCAGTTTTCATTTCTGTGGTCGTGTTGGCAGGTGTTGTCTATGTTTTGTCGTCCATCTGGGGTCTTATTTTGCAGTTTTAATAAATGTGTGAGTTCATGTGTGTGTATGGCTTCTTCAAAGTTCCAGTCTTTGTCCTGCTTATGACATTACTTGTTGGTGAATGTTCATTTATCTGCTAACAATAGGAGCTGAAAAATGTATTGATGTGACGGTGTATCTTATTGACTTTTTTTCTCTTTCGCTGTGGTGTGAATTCACTGCTGCCAAATCCGGATATCTTTATTTAAAGATTGCAGGTGCTCTAGATGGATTCCCACAGCAGTTAAACTCCTTGAATCACTGCATTATGACTCATTGAGGTGGTGCTTATTAAATGAATGAGTGTAAGTGAACAGAAGTTAAACAACTCGGGCTAAAGAAGAAGGAACTCATGGAGGACAGTTAGGACAATGCATGCAACCAGCTCTATTTTCTCCTTTTTTAGAGGCATTTTTCAGATGTTGTAGCGACGTACTGCAGGATTACTGTATCGCAGTATAATTGTTATTATTATGGAATATCATGATAGTATTTGTATAATGAGTTAAGGCCTTTAAACACCGGATATGTAAATTCTGTAAATTCTTAATGCAGACGGTCACACCAACTATGTAATTCACATGACAAATTTGCGACATTTATTCTTCCGAACCAAGCTCGCTTTTTACAACTGATCAGATCTGGATAAACAGATCTGACCAGTCAAAGGACTAGCTCATCATCGCTTGGTGCAGACTTCATTTCTTTCACAGAGGGTTTCTTGAAGACAAATTTTTGCAAAAAATACAACATTTTGGCATGTATATATGTTACACAACAAGTTTGGATCTGAAAAATCCAGAATTTCCTGTCATGTTTTTCCAACAGGCTCCGTGTGTGATGGCCTTCACTTTGTAATTTGCACTACTGATCTATAACTTGATGGCTATGATTTGGCTAAAACATAATTTCAGGAACCACCTGCCTTTAAAAACAACAACAAAACAAACAAACAAACTCTAGGATGTAATTTAAGGGTCACCAGTTTCACTCCAGTTTCAAATTAAATCATTATTACTCATTGTTTTGTTTTTACAATTGTTACTTTTACAAACACATTTTCATTACATAGGGTTAATCTCAGGTCTACAGGAAAATTGCAAAGCATAATGAACTAAATTACCACATTTTCTTTTATGTCACTGTAACTCTGCAGCATGTTTGTCAATAGTGTCACAGTTGTGAAATAATAATTAAGAAAGCCTCTTCAGTTAGTTATCTTAATTATGCATTTGAGTCGCAAGAAACAGTCGATAAAACAATTGCCTTAAACGACCTTTTAACGTTGTACTCGTGAGGACACGCATTGAGTTACAAACAAATATAGAAACATCACAACGAGACAGACACTTTTTTTCCACGAATATCTCGTCTTTCCATTTCTGACCTGTCAGTCGCATGAGTCAAAATAAGAATGAAAAGCCAGAAGAACAACCAGCTGAGCCTGCAAAGTAGAACTTAACAGTCTCTCCCTTTACAGCGCCTGTCGCTCAAACGTGTCTCCAGGGCTTCACGCGCAGTTATTGAGAAGTTTTAAAGGGCCAGGTTATTTGTACCCTCAAAGAAAATTAGTTTCTTGTGGCACATTGTGTGCGATACAGTGAAAGAAATATTGCAGGACTTTTTGCGGGTCTCAGACGTGACAGGACAACATTCTAAGTCGTATTGATTTCGATATGTGTGGCATATAGTTCATGCGTTTATTAGATTCTAAACAAGCACCATGCATTTGCCATTTTCCTTCTTTTAAATTATCAAGTTAGTTTGTTAAGGAACTAAAACTCAATCAATGAGTCCAACCTTCACATATGTCCCATTTTTATTAGGAATATGCTTGTTCATAGACACAGCTGGGTTACTCAGTGCTCTTCTTTTAGCAAAGCAGTGGGCTTGATTTTCCTTTTTTTTCCCATTTTGCCGAGCATGTTGGGAAATCAGGAGTAAATCCTCACTGAATAGCAAAGACTTTGTTATTCCCAGCTAATGAGAAAGGACGCTGATCGTGTGCGGTTGTTTTCTTTCCGTCTTAATGGCATCCATGATAAGCCTTGGGTTCACGTCGAGGTCTCCTCCCTGTTTAATGATGTTTGCTTGATATTAACTCCATCATATAGAGGCACAGTGTACGACTCGTGCTAGTTTTTCTCTTTTACTGTACATCCAGTAATGCAAAGCTACGCAGACTTGAAGTTCATCCATAGTTTGAGGGGATTTCCTCAAGTTCATTGGTAATCCAATGGTTGACCTGATTTCTCTAGCAGACCGCTTTGCAAACCACTTCCATTCTGCTCGTGTGCAGTTGTGGATGGCCTGTAGCATGAATACAGAGATTGCAGAATGCCAAGGCGGCCAAATAGGCTTAGTTTGCTGTCGTTATAGCACACCACACACATTTTCCACATGTAATTCAAAGAGTTCATCAAAGGCTGGTTATATTTAAAAAGTACACTCATACATTTTGGTTGTAAACAGTAAAACTCCAAATGGGGAAAATATTCTGGACCACGCAGTTCAACCCACTTCATAATTATATTGAAACAGAGTCGACTCAGATGTTTGATGTGTAGGCGTACCTGAATACATTAGTTGCTAAATACATCTTAAAAAAAAAATACACATAATGTGTTCAACAAGCGTAGCTATTTTTTACAGCGATTTGTACAGCTGCCATGAACATAAGGATGACCCAAACTTTTGTGACATGGATAATTTTAATAATCACTTTATCTAACAGTTATTTCTTCTGTTTATTTAACTTTTTTTTTTTTTTTTAATTCAACCAGTTCAATGTCGTTTTGTTTTTTCAAAATTGCTCTTCCACGTTTCGTCAATCTGGAGCAACGAAAGTGATCTTTGTAAGAGGCAAACATCCAAAGTTACTTACAGTTTTGCATCTTATAACTAAAATAGAGTGTTAGGATTGTTTTCAGAGAAGTTAGGATGATGTAAATGTGGAATTTAAAAAAAAAGTTTGCTGCTTTATCCAAAATATTATCGCCTCTACCATATCTGCTTAACATGAACATAGTATGCAGTGTTGGGAAGGTTACTTTTAAAATGTATTCCACGACAGATTACAGAATACATGCCCCAAAATGTATTCTGTAACGTATTCCGTTACGTTACTCAATGAGAGTAACGTATTCTGAATACTTTGGATTACTTAATATATTATCATGCTTTTTACAACTACATGAATGTACTATTGCTGTGTGATTTATTACTATTACTAAATGGATACTCGCCATACCAATACCAGCTAGATTTTTTAAATCCTAACATAAAATGAGTAACAGTAGGGTGGACATTAGGTAAGGCAGCACTTTTTGCAGTGATCTCGTATAGAAAACTATTCCGCGCGTATATAAAACATGTCCGCAGCTCCGAACCATAATAAAGGGACCTCTGGCTAATAAGTCGGGTTCGTAGCCGAAAAATAGCTTTACTTGTCTTTGCTAGCGAGAGACAGAGAGAGGCGTTGAAAGGCTGCTCCAACGGAGCTTATAGTTTCGGAGGAAAACACGAACACGGTGTACAGTCGAGTCTTAATAGCTTACTTACAACTGGGCTACACTGCCCATGAGGCTACATTCTTTAGGGCTATGCCTGCAACACTCTGCCTTCATATTAAATCATTTTTTGAATAATAATTTTAAAAAATATTTCTTCATGTCATTATGCGGGCCGCAAGTAGAGGTGACATGGGCTGCGAGATTGAGACAAAGAGCCTCTTAACACGTGTTTTGTTTGGGTTTCCACCAGCGTGGAATTACCAAAAATAGAGAGGGTATAGCCTAACATATGAAACAGGAAAAGGCCGCCGTGTAATCCATTTATTTCAACAAAGTAACTGTATTCTGAATACCACCTTTTTAAACAGTAACTGTAACGGAATACAGTTACTCATATTTTGTATTTTAAATACGTAACGGCGGTACATTACTCCCCAACACTGATAGTAGAACATACTAATATAGAGCATAGTATGTGTGTGATACAAGCTTATTGTCTTTATTCCTGAAGGCATCAAATAAAGATGGGATTCAGTATCCTTTATTTAATTTCTTTTAAGTGGACTTTGACTTGCTATGTAAAAGTCTTGAGCCACCCCTCATTTCTTTGTATTTTAATTTCCTGTTATTTTTATTGAAGTTTCCTTGAGAAACAGTTGTTTTGACTTTACGAAGGTCTTTTAAAGCTTTACAGATTTATGAATCACTGAAGGATTAAAAAAGGCACCTAACTCAAGGGATAAACCAGTGTCGTGCAGACATAGCAGACAACTCATCAAAGAACCAAATGTAAATTGTATCTTTGTATCCAAATGTAAACACTTTGTTACCAACATCTCGTCAAAAACCTCATTATTTGTTCACATTTCTTTAGTTGAATTTCTGAAAAATGCAGTAAGTAGTATTAAAAACAGTAAAAAAAAAAACTAATTTTTTTAACAGCATCATTCATAAAGAACTGCTAGCCATAAACTTGGCTTATTGTATGAAGTATGAGGAAATGTAGGACTAGTATTTGCTTGTTAGAATTTTACAAATTTTGGTTTAGATACTGTATTTCCATGTGTGTTTGTACATATTTGAATAAACTGATGTACTCTTTTCCCATTTTCCAAGCAAAATATAAAGAAATTGAGTGTCGCTCAAGAGTTTTGCACAGTACTGTATATGTAAGGAAATCTCTGTATAAAAATTGTTTGAAGGAGAAATAGACTATAAGCCCGTTAGCCATAGATGATTACGCTTCCCTGTCTTTAATGTGCATTCACATGTAAATGCAAATACTAATAGTAGGTTAGAATAGGAAGAGATTAACTGAATCCAACAAAATATGTATTGTTGGAATATATTAATATAGAGAATGTCTGTATCTTTGTATATGAAGGATGTACTAAGCACTTAGAGTGTCTGCTATCTTGCCTCTGAGGATTCGAGTAGTTCCCCTGAGCTAATCTATATGGACCAGATCCAGTCATAAACACTGGCTGTACTATTATATCCTATTCTCTGGAAACCAGGGTCCATTATGAATTCAAAAGGCTACAGGTTCTTGATCTTTATTTCTAATAAAACATGATTTGCACAAAGGAAAATAACAAAAATTCTTGTCTACCTGACTTTAGACTTTATAAAACGTATGTCTTCTTGAAATAATGCAGTAACACGTGTTGCAGCAGGCATTGTCTTCTTGTTCTGAACTCTAACAGAGCGCTTCATATCCCCGCTTATACGTCTCCTCTCCAGATAAGGAAACGCTTGATTGTCCTTGTAGAGCAAAACAAACAGTGTCAAACATAAAAGAGTTCAGAAGGTCCCATAAGGCTTGACATTTTCAGTCAAGCAGCAAAAGCCCAAACTGAAAACAGAGCTTCACTCTGAAATTCCATTAAATTTGATATATTTTTAAAGTATTTTTGTGGTAATTTAGTCCTAAAGCAGGACTGAGTGATGGTAGCTCTGCTAAGCTCTCCACAGAGAATGTAGACTAGTTTTATTCTTTCATCTTTATTAATTGTACCTTGTAATTTAATAGTTGATTTTTCGAGTTACGAATACCCGAGCTTCCTTGCAGCACAATCATTTATCTCATTTGTAAAACCTGCGTGTCATATCAGTTTCAGGTTGTTAAAAAATTTCCTGGAAAAATCACTCACAGCCATGTGGGAACCTTGAAAAGAGTTCTGGGAATAAGCAATTAGCTCAGCAACTGTAATCACAACCTTGATGAATTTATGAGCAAACTCTAATGAGTAAGATATTGATTTTGTACACTGCAACGCTCTCATTGTGCTGCAGTGTTTTTTCATTTTCCCATTCTGATGCTCACCGTTAAACGCACCGTTTAGCTTCAAATATTTATTTTCAGGTTTCTATCAGGATTTCCAGTCTTGTCATCCCATCGATAAAGCAAAAACAAAAAAAAGATTCTACCTGCAGCGTTTGATCTATTTCCATTTCAAAGTTGTTTTTTTTCATACAGAAAACTGTAATTTCCCTTCTTGGAAATCTTGCCTATGGTATATAAAAGACAGGACAATGTGTGTTTTCTTAGCCTTGGAGTGCAACGCGAGCCTACAATAACAAAGCTCTGTGTGGATAACATGGTCTGTAGGCTAGGCGTAGATCTGCAGTCTCCCGCTGATATGTTCCATTTCCCTCTGTTCTCTTTGTGCCTCTCTTTTATTTTACGAGTGTGCCGTGATATTGCCCGAGCAACATGGGTGGATGACTGATGGTGTCCATTAGTAAACATAGTCCCCTATATGTGCCGTCGGCCTAAAGAGCCAATGTCTTGAACCTCTTTCCCCAATTTTTCTTTTTTTTTTGTTTGTTCTCCCTCCTCCTCTCTCCTCTTTTATTTTCCCCATTCCTCTCGACTCTTCCTCTTACCTTTTGCCAACCAACCCCCACCCCACCCACCGCCCTCCAATCCCCTGCATCCACTCTATCTTTTTTTCTTCCCCTGCCTTCGTCTCCATCCATCCTCCTTATGGTTGTTTTTCATAGCTATGGCTCTGCAGTAGAGCGAGGGATGAGACCATTTCTCTTGCTCCTTTAGTGCGCTCGCTTTTTTTTTTTTTCTTGCGAGACAGAGCGGCCAGAGGATGGGTTGAGAATGTCAAGCATTAGGTTGGGAATAGAGTGCTGTTCAAACAAAGGAATAAGCCACTAATATGACAGATGCTGTGTGTATTGCAGGAGAATATTAGCAAATCTTGTTTAACTCCCGGGGTTGAATACAGTCAACAAACAGAGGGTGGGGTGACGGGAATCTGGCTTCTCCGTAGACGTTTGCAGCTCCCGGTCATGTTTCGGGTGTCAAGGAGTGGCGTAGGATCTAGCATCTTTTAAAACTTTTAATCCCAGAAACAGCATGCCTTAATAAATATGGATTTATTTTGGCAAAGATGGGTTTGAGAAAAGGGATCATTTTTTAAACCCCCCTGCATCACACACTTAACACAGTTGCTTTACTGTACACTGGGAAGAAATGGTAATTTCAAAATGAGCTTTTCTGTAATTAGTACAGAAAGATAATTGCGGCGGATGTGCAATTAGCATTATGTAAAGTGTTTTTCCCCAGACTTAGGGGCCAATCAGTTTACCCCTCGTACATTCTCTGCTCTGCCGATGACACGGGACATGCTCAGTGCTGAACATAAGAGAACTTCCTCTCCTTTCCACTCGCAGTGAATGCGGATTCACAGAATGAATCGGTTGGGGTCACATGCTCGCTGGAAAAAGGGGGTTGAGGAAGTTTTTGCGTCTCCTTTTCATCTGCCTGTGTACATGAATGGAGAAGAGGGAAATCACTGTCATACCAGCCGTTACAGCACAAAGCCTCCTGATTGCATTCTGGACTCTGCCATGCTTTTTTCTTTTCCTACAGGGAAACCAAATGTTCTTGCACAGCGTGACTGACTCATTGCCTGATTGCCCTCCACACCCCCCCACACCCCATATTTTTTAAATCCAGCTCCATCCTTTTCTTCATTCCTGCCTCTCAGTTTGCATTCAGATGGAAGTGGTTGCTATTTAAACAATCTCATAATTCTACAGTAACACGTGATTTTTTTATTTTATTTTAATTTTAGGTCTCATCAGACATCAGAACAGCTCCGTTACCAGCATTTTCCATTTATTGGACACCAATAAAGATGGCAGGTAAATAACTTGTATTCAGACTCTTTTGAGTCCTGTTTTTGTTTTCATGCTCTGGCCAGTGCTGCCCATTCTAGTGAGTCCAGAAACCTGCACTCATATGCGTATGAAGTGTCAGCCTTATAATGCTAACCCCACCCCACCCCCAAGCTAGAACCATATTCTATTAATACTTTGTTGATTACGCAGGCAAAGTTTTGCATAATAAAGATCCACTGATTCAGGTTTTGAAGGCTACCAGTGATGTTTTTATACTGAAATAGTTTTTCCTTGTTGGGTTCTGCTCTTGCCAGGGTGAATGGGCTTTTTGTCGCATTATTTCATTGCTAAGAAATCTAATACTACAAAAAAAAATATTATGTCGTCATCCAGCACTCTGCAGAAGTCTTCAGCCACCCCTTATTTCTTTATATATTGCTTCCAAGGAGCCAGACTTTAATGTAATTTGTTTAAAGTGACCTTGTGCAATATTTCTTCAGGCTTTCTGAAGAGCTATTAAACAGAAGCTTGATATATTCGAATAGTGTGTGGTGTCTCCCTGCGACCTCCCCTGTACACTTAATGATGGGTTTTCACACCTCACGATTTATCAGTAAAGTCGTGGTTTGACTACCATTGCAATACTTTCTGGGTTTTTCCAAAAGAAGCTGCGTAGGCAGCGACTACAGTCACTAACTTCTAATGCAAACCCAGTTATCTTGTTCTATAAACAGGCCTGAAATATAACAGAAACCACTCAGTTCTGAAAAATATTTCAAGGCTTATTCATAAAGACTTCAGAAATAGGACAAATTCAGCAAAGACCTGATACAGGATGTGAGTGATGTATCTGGCCCTTCAACTGATCCAAAAGGCCATTCTTAAGGATGGGAAACAGGGTATGCCAGTTTACACAAGAACGGGACTGAAGATCCATTGTAACAGGTCTAACGGAGTGATGACTCCAATTTGGTTCAAATGGTTGTCAATAGGTGTTGGGGATCTTGTATGTATGAATGTATGAAATTATGACCATGGAAAAGCATGGTTAGAGTTTGATACACCTTGTAAGACAATCTGGAAAGCATCTGATTCGCTATGGCTGCCCAACACACTGCCAAAGCAGTAATACCATACCTGGATAGAAACACTATCAGTCATGGATTGGCCTCCCCCAGAACCCGGACCACTGCATTCTTGGAGCGGTGTGGGATCATCTAGCAGCCAAGATCCAAAGAAGAGCTTTGAATGTCCTTCAAGAAGTCTGGAGAACTAGTAATTTCTTGTAATTACAGAAAGGACAAGAAAGCTGCATAAGAGAGCTAAAGTTAAGTGCTGAATTTAAATCGTTTGTTACATTTTATCTTTTTTTCCTGACAAATGATCGCCTGTCTTTGAACATTGTTCTCTCCAAATTGATTGGTGACAAAGGCCAGTCATTAATGTACCGGCCACTAGCAGTCAAATGAAACTGTAACACAAAACACGAAATAACAACCACAAAAAAAAAAAAAAATACTGTTGAAGAAGTTCCTTTAATTTCCGGCAGACTGAATCGGAGAGTTTTAGGAAATATTATCATGTCAGATACCCTCAAAAAAATTCTGCTAATGCAGCAGAGTGAAACCAAAACAACATGAAATATGATAAAGAAGATCCATAACACTGGATTAAAACTATAGGTTGTCACTCGCATTTATTCTGTCTTGCATTACTCGTGCTATAAAATAAATGGGTGTTCACATCAATATGAATATGGATTACACTCATTAGTTCCACCTTAACTTGTGGAGCAGTGAAGTCTCATCAGTCTGAGTCGAATGTGCGCATCTCATTCCCTGGAACTCCTACACCTATTTATTCTCCAGCAAGCCTCAAAAAGTATTTCTTCTCCTTATTTGCATTGTTCAATCTTCAAGTCTCAGCAGGCTCACTTGTTGCTCCGCTTTCCAATCTCCCGGCCTTCCTTGCAGCTACACAGACGAACTAAGTTGCTGTCAGGATCGGCGTCTGACGGCGGCCAGCTTTAAAGGGAATGGCATCCGTTTTGCTGCCAGGGAAGATATGTAAATTTTTCTAGTGGCTTGCAGAAAAACGGAGTCCATGATATCCAATGAGCCTGTCCCCCTTCATGCTTTTTCTCCACAGCCATCCACACCCTCACATCCTCACTTTCCCCACAACATGCTTGAAGTTAAAAAAAATCGATACTTCTTAAGCTAACTGGGCATATTCTTCCGGAAAGCAAGCTGGCCCAAGCATAGTAAACTGAAAGTGCTATAAAACATATGGCCGCATCGAGGACGAACTGCTTGTGCAGCGATTTTCTGGCAGAGCGCTATATGCCCACTTATGCATTCCTGCGATTGGATGCAAACCATTATTCAAGCCCTCCTGCCCACCCCCTCCCAGCCACAGTTCCTTCCTTCCCCGGCTCTGCCTCCATCCATCCACTCCATCCAAAGCACCGCCTCGCACTTAAACAAACACATTACTAAGCTGAAATATCTGCAAGTGTCGCTCATTTCTATCCAGCCATTGTCTCAGCCTGTCAGCATGTGGATTCGGTGAGCTGGCTATCTTGATGCAGGACGTGTCCTGATGCCCATTTGAATAAAGCAGGTGAAGGCTTTGCGCTTGTGTGCTACATCACCAGTCCTCCCCTCCCCGTGTGGCTCTGCGGCTCACATGCCCGAGTGTCAAGCTTGATTTAGTCGCCGTTATGATAAATGCAAATTTGCTGGTATACCTGACGCTTGCACGTTGCCGGGGACTTTGATCGAGATTAGCATGCACACTACAGGCTCTTTATCGTGCACAAAGCAGGGGAAAAAAAAGCTCTTGGCTTTGTCCCAAATGACACTTAGCGAAATGTTATCCCATTCTTAATCCACTTGATTGGAATTGCTAATTATCTTTAATGCAGATTCACAGATAATTGTTCTCTCATTTATACTGTGAGCTAATCTCATTTTTGTGTCACCAGTAATTGCTTCATGCAACCTGTTTTTTTTTTTCTTCCTTTTTTTCCTTTAAAGTTTAGAATCTGCTCTGATGTGCATGAAGGAACATGTCAGTGGTAGAGATGTCGCTGATTATCACCACAGTTTGTACTTAATACTAATATTAATTCTGTATAAATATTGCTACTGCGAGTTACGCAGCAGGCTAACGTCGTGGAATATCTTTGCATGCAGCGTTTCCAATATTTTGGTCACACCTCAAGTTTATATATCTGCAGTCTCACAGATTCATATTGCGTTATAGGGGGGTAAATTATTCCCCCACACTTTGTTCATTAAGGTAGATTCTTGCCTTCCTCACGATTATTTCAACCCAAACCTTCCTGAGCACCACACACAAGTGCAACCCACTGTGCCAGCTGGCAAGCAGTTGGCAGCCCAGTGCAGGATTAACTGGTACCAGTATGCTGGCCTATAAATAGAGTCTACCAACTGCTTCAGGAAATGAACCATGATGGAGCCTCCCAAAGGCCCATGAACAGGTTGTGCTTTTTATCCCCTCCCCTCTGTCAGGATTCATCAGTGCATGTGTGTGAGTTACCAATATTTTTCTCAGGGAAACCTAGCAAAGCACCTGCTCTCGAGATCAGGTCTGCATCTGCCCTCAGTGATTGGGGGCAAAGCCGGTTTTCCTCACACCAAATTCTATTTATTTCTTTATTTTTTAGAGGCGTCATTGTGTGCAGCTCGACAATGCAGAGAGATCATTGCTTTTCTCCAGCACTTACCCCTAGCATTGATCCTCTGTAGTGGAACAAGCTATTTGCTTTGTATGTTTGCCTGCACGTCCGCTTTTGATGGACTCCTAGGATTGATCCTGGCCATGCAGTCATTATCTCCATTCAGTTTAGTGCTGGTTTACGTAAAACCTGAGGAAGGAAGACACCAGCGGTGAAGAATGGCCATAGAAAAAAGATCTAAATGCTGTAGGATAATAGGTGGCATGAGAGATTTTGACTGCACTGTGTGCTGCTTTATGTTTTGTGCAGTTTAAACTGCGATAGGGTAAAAGGAAAGAGAAGTGCTCAGCTCAGAGCAGAACATCCTTGATCGCAAAATGTATTGTTGGTTCAATGCAGTCGGTTTGTGTTACTGACTGGTTGTGCATCTGATCAAAAAGTTTAGTATTTGTTTCTTTTGTGCAAACTTTGAATCCCTGCCACAGGAAATGAGACTGAAATGTGACTCAGTGGGCCTCAGGTGCTTGTGAATGCTGTGCTGATGACATGTTATGTGGATCATGATGAAATCAACTTATTATATTGGGCAAAAAAAACAATATTGGGATAAATACTAAAATGCTTCCTGATTTTGTACCCTCTGCAGTTTGACAGTGGATGAAATCAAGGCTAAAGTGGTGCTTGTCCACGATGAGCAGCGTGTTCTCTCTGAGGGTGAAGCACTGGTAAGTTCATCTTTATTCATAGTTTATGCTACAACTCTGCAGGTAATATTTTTTAATGATTATTTGATGCTGGATGGGGAAATAGCCCAGTGCTACACCTGTGTAACTAAAAGTTTCTTGGTCGTCCACATCGTGTGCGGCTCTCCAAAGTTCCCTTCAACTGCCATTTCCTAATGACAGCTGGAAGCTTTTTGATATCTTTTTATAGCCTAGCCCAATCCTGGAAGCCTCAATTAGCTTTGCAGTTTCTTAGAGAAGCCCGTGGTTGTTGAGTGCTAACACAAGAGTTGAAGAGTGTGGAGGATTTATCAGCTCTGAATTGTCACCAGCTGATGATTCCCTTAATTAAGGCCAAATAAGTTAATGAGGGTCTGAGGCTTTTTATGTGAAACTGTTACCTTGGAATCTTTTGCCTAGTCTCACACCAAAGTATGCCACATTTATTGTTGGCAATAAAATTTTGTATTTTCAAAAATAAACTAGCTGGGTTTTTTTTTGCTTTGTAGGGGAAGTCTTTTCACCCGTTCTTTCTTTGTTGGAAAATAAAGCTTTTCTAACATGTATGACGTTTTAAAAGAAGTATCCTTTAACCTAAATACTAACTAAAACATTTTGTTGTCTAATCTGATTAAACAGTGAGTGAAAATGATGATAATAATAATAATAATAATAATAATAATAATGATAATAATATACAGGAAATTAACCCAAGTCTCATCAGAGCAGCTTTTATGACTTGTGCCACTGCCATCCATCCATCCAACCTCCTAATGCAGTCTTTGTTGGCTTTTCTGTGTGCACCGGGGTTGTCACAACACTGGAATTTCACACTCAATAGTGGCACCCAGGAGTATAATTTTTCATAGAAGTTAAGACATTAAAAAGCATCTTTTTTTGTATTCAGCTACAGTCCTGTTTATGTGTCTGGTGACTTCTCACCGTACTTCTTCTGCTGATCAAACAGCCTTTTCTCAGCTTCAGTCAGGGACTTTAAGAGAAGTGTAACAATTTTCAAACACAAATAACTTTGTAATGCTGTGAAATTCACTTTATTGATTCTGCAGATGGGAGGAATTGATTACATTTGCTGCTTAGCCCCCAGTAGCAGTAGCAGTAGTAGTACCTACTACCTTAATAACAACAGATGACTTAATGTGCCAAGGTGTGCGGTGGCCAGGTTAATGTTTATGATAATGTTTTAATACTTTAGTGTTGTTGAAACAGGAAATTCCTCATAAAGATGAGGGTGTCTGTTTGTTTCAAGCAGTGTTCAGCTGCTAGTGAGGGGAGGGGCTGTGTGCTGTCTGTATGCAGGGTGCTGAGGTTGTGTGTCAGCTAGAGGCAAACACGGCACTGTTCAATATTGTTGCAAATGAGTATCCATTTGCAACAATATGTTGCAAATGGATACTTTTTTGTAACAATTAGTATCTGAGAGTGCAGGTAGACAGTCACAGGACATCTACGTAAGCCCCACCCTCTCATTTTATGATAAAACTAATGAGTACTTCACCGCATTGCAGGTGGGTTGAAACTTCTGCACCTACTGGAGTTGTTTTTTATTCTTTGATATATTTATTATTGATTTATTGATTGATTTATTTTAATTTGGGGGAAAAAGTAACAGTGTGTTAAAAGTAATGTTTGAGGAAATGCTAACTGATCTAATCTAATTGATTTCTGTTATTATGATTGGTTTTAACATGCTTTATGCTACTTTCATTCATTTTTCAAGAAGTTATTTTAAAAAAAGTGGAAGTTATTGCATTTTAATTAGTAAACTTAAGTGGCACAAAAACACTTTACTCCTCAACATTACTGAAAACCATCATGAAAACACAGACAAACCCATAGCTTCCACACCGTGTCTACACCATCAACAACAGGACATTCTGCATATTTGCATCCAGATATTCTGCTGAATTACCGCTCGTCAATTTCGCTGCCAGAAGAGATTACCCTTTTAGTGCGCGTCAGACTACAGGACTTTATAGCAGATTTGCCTTTGATTCCTTTCCTTATCCCGACATTCAAATGTGAGTCCGGACCCCGTCAGTGCTGATGTTCGACCCATTATCTGGTACTTTGTAGGGTTTATAGAAGCATTCTTAAAGCCTACAAAAGTGCTTCTGGACTCATCGGGGCTGTCTTGATGTTTGATGTTTAATCGTTACAATCTTGATTGTTACACATATAATTGCTTCAGCATGTACACAGCAGACAGTGAAAATAACAGTGGCAAAGTGAAACAACAAGGTAGTCTTCATGTGCTTTGGGAAGACAGAGATGGAGCAAGCTGAACAACTTAGTAGAGACTCTCAAAGACTTTCAAGTTATTTCTAGAGCAGCTGACTGTAATGTGAAGCAACATAAGCGTTTTAGTCTTTGATGCTAATGTTGTGTTTGGACACTATTGCTAATTACTACCAATCTGAGCCAGTTGTCTTTGATGATTCATCAATGGATATGTGAATGTATATAATTTTGGGGTTGTGTATTTCTCTACGTCATTAAATCCATTACATATGAATAAATACATATATGAGGAAATATTATTCCATATCTCTAAACAGTATTGCTGGAGCGCCTTGAGGCAACTGTTGTTGTGATTTGGTGCTTGTGGCAGGACTTGACTTAAGCAGTCAAAGAAGAGCATGAGACTGATGCTGTCCAGTGTAGCAAGTGATTTATTCACCATTTTGTGACCCAAACAATATTTACAAAGAAACCAATAAAAAACTCAACTCTAAGTTAACTCAGTTCAGCTAAATAAAACTGAAGTTAAATCAACGGAAATTAAGGTCAAACTGCGCACAGCTACACTGACCTGAACCTTTCTTCTCAAACACCTGAGTTCTGCTTAAATAGTCCACTTAACCAAACAATCTCTCCTCTGGACTATTCCATTCAGTAGGTAAGATGAACATGATTATATTCAAACCTCTACTGCTACTCTTTACTGGCAACATAAACTCTATGGTGTAATCAATACATATTACATCATTAAATCTATTTATCCATAAACACTCTAAAATCAACTTTATTAAATTACAAGAATTCTTCCCCTTCTGCACTTGGTCTCATCCTGTGACCTCAGATTAACCCAGAAGCTATAAAGCAGGAAGTAAAACTACATTTCCTCCTTTTGTTTCTAGAAGACAGGTAGGTAAGGTTCTAAATAATACAAATTAACAGTTGAAATAAATAACATGTTAACTTAAACTTGTAGGAATTGATTTAAACCAAGATGTTATATTATATAATCTGTAAAAGTGCAAAACATAAACAAACCCGGGATAGTAGATGTTTGCCTATTACAGATTGCATATGAAATATGGTTAAATCAAAACAAGAATGTTAACTAAGAATATGGACAAACGGTGTTGTCACCCACTTTGTCACAGTGCTACATAAATAAAACTGAATTGAACAAAATTGAATTGAATTTCCGCATCCGCCAGGGTCCACTCAAGTCTGAATGACAGAAATTTTATCCTAAGATGATGAGTGCAAGCGTCCATGGGGATGTCCGCGTGCCTGCTTGTTTTTTGTGCACTTACAACTTTGCGGGCGCTCCAGGCTAGTGGACTAGTATAGGAAAGCAGGAATTACTTCTCAGCCAACATGTCTCCAGCTGTCCATTTCCATGTCTGCCACAGAGTATAATCTAGGCTTTCTTCCCCCCTCCATGCTCCTTGAAAGAGTCTGAAGTTATGCCACAGACCTCTACTCTCTTTCTGCAGTTCAAATCTCACCTCCAGTTCTCACTGACAAATACACAACCTTGCTTAACCTGCTCTCACCGATCTCTTTATCACCCAGACTCTTGAAGCAGCCTGCTTTTTCTCATTGCACAGTGTTGCTAAAGTTCCAGCAAAACACATGTAGATACACACTCCGTGTTATTTGGGATTTGACAGAAAGAAAATCTGTGAATCTGTAAAGTTTCTTGTTATATGTATGACTCAGTTTTAAAAATGAGTTATTATTACTGACGTCATGCTGCAGACTGCCACATAAACAAAATGATTATGATTGGGAAATTTGCAATCGCACTCTCTCCGTTAGTTGGTTTAAAGATGGGAACCTTGTCCGTGATCACTCGCAGCCTTTGGTTGCTGTCTTCAAAGCAACTGTCAGGGTGTCGGGATGCCAGTAAAATGGCAATAAGATCAAATCAGTCTGCTATCAGTTTGTGATTGACTGGTTTCAAGTTGGTAATTATATGGAAACTGTTATATAGCAATTAACTGTAATAAATTGCAAATCTGTTGCTGTCTAAATACACAAAAGTCCATAATCATCATACTTCATAGTTACATTGACAGTCCAGCCAGAACTTCACAAATTAATAACAGAAATTCTGAAATTCCACCAGGAAGAGTGACATAGTTTCTGCAGGATAGCAAAGGCACTTATATAATACAATCAGCATGAAATCAGAATACAACCAGGATACAACCAGTTGGCAACTAGTTGCATCAAGTCCTCCATTGCAAATGTTGCAAATGTTGCAAACTGCACTGCAGTTATTTACAAACCTTCACCATTCTGTCGACGCAGCCAGCTGTTAAAATCAGTCTGAGTCAGACTGCAGCTACCTGCAATCAGTTGCCATTTGTGAAAGAATTCAATGGAGTCACAAGGCAATATCATTTTTTCTCTTTTGGTTGCAAGAAAGTAGTTGTGCTATTTTGTAAATGTGAATAAACTACAACAATATATTCGAATTATATCAATTAATAACATTTTGAAAAAGGTATAAGTAGTTTTCCAAAACACCTGGAGTAAGTACTGCATTTACTTGGGAGTACTTTCATCTGTGGATCAGTGCACAGCTGGTGCACTGGTGAGTATTTATAGCATCTGGACCGTAGGTAGGAATGTCAGACCTGTCAACCTGCCTACTGCATAAGAACACCATCGAACATATCCCTTTTATGTCTAAATAGTAGTTTAGTAGTTTTATCTTAGTATACTATATAGCGCTATCTCAAAAT